TTTACAATTTCCCGATTTCAATCTAGTCTCGCCACATGATTATAGAAGGGGCCAAAGTCAGTCCTGTAGAGCCAGTGTCCCTCATGTTTTAAATGTTTCCCTGCTTCAGCACTCATGAAAAATGTTTAACAGTAAAATCCTGTTAATCAGGTGTGTTAAAGCAGTAAAGCTTCAAGGAAACCGGCTCCACCGGGTGGAGCCGGTTTCCTTGAAGCTTTACCGCTTGAACATTTCTGGGTTTTGCTTAATTAGGATGACATTAACAAAACATTTACATCCTACATTTATTTACTGCAAAAAGAGTAATTATACTTAAATACAGCAAAGTACTATGAGCACTAACACTCACTATTTATAAAATCACAGGTTTTAAAGTTTGCTGATCTGTAAAAACTGATCAAACCATGTTTAAAATGAATAATATGTTTCCAGAGAGATTTTAGAGGATGTTTCAGGTACGAGTTCATCACTACCATGAGACAGGAAGCTGCTTATTCAACAAAATAAAGACCAGAACCAGAATATAAAACAAATGTGTTTGTCCAATTGGGAAATACCATAGAAATTTAAATAAAGATATGTAATACACTTCAGAGATTTTATCATATATTTAAAAACATCATGCACAAATATTAAAAAAAGCAAATAAATACTATGATTGCTGTGGATCACCTGGTATATTATATTCGTTATTGTTTATTCTTTGTTTTCATATTTTTGTTTTCTTCTTCTATTCTTTTTCTTTAAGCTACTGCTGTGAATTTTAACCTAAACTCTGTATGAAGTAAAGGCAATATAATACTAGGCTTCAGCCTAGACTGTACAGTTGTATTAATGTTTTTCTTTTGTTTGTTTGTTTTTTGTTCTGCTTTGTATGTGTTTTTTCTTAAAAAATGTAAAGTAAATCAATAAATAATAGCAGCTTTAGCAGAAACGTATGTTGTTTCTAGTTGAACCTTCTCTTTAAGCTTATATAATAACCAGAACAGCAGCAGAGTCTATATTAGATTTTACCAGGAACTTTATATTATTGTGTTTGATAGATGAAAATCTTTCCTATGAGAGCTTCCTTTGTGTTTATAAGCTGTAGTCAAATCTATTAGACTGTACATTAAAACATCTCTTTCCCTCACTTATATAAGTTTAATTTAAACATAACTTTTAGAAACTAGATGTTCCCAAAGGTCATTTTTGATTATCAGAAAATGAAGATGTAGCAGCAAACTAACAAGAAAAAGAGCAACTGATTGATATCAGACCCAAAGTGGTCAGTATTATTATTTTTAAAGAACATGTTACTCACCGTACACTGAGAGCGAATAAGAGAAAGAAATCTCTCTTTTTTTATCATCAATTTTATAAACTCCAGAGTCGATCTTCTGCAGGTCTGTGATTGTAAAGAGTCCAGAGTCTTTGTTCCAGAGAAGTTTATTATTGAATTTGTCATCTAGAATCTTAAGGTTTCCTTCAGTCACCATAGCAAGATTGTTGGCCTTCCCTGCATCTAAAATAAATCCTCGCTCCATCAGAGGATCAGGCAGAGTGATGTTTCCTCCAACAACTCCAGTCAGGTTCCTCTTCGGTTCCTCAGCAGGAGATAATCTCATCATCGCTGTAGAACATCAACAGATACAGTCAGACCAAACTGTCCTGAAAATATCTTAAGTTTAGTCAAAATTATTAACTATAAAGTTATTTTCAGCATCAGTAACAGCAGCAGCCTCACTTCTCCTGCAAAGGAGGAACATAACTGTCTATTTGTTCATTTGTGTTTTGATTGTTAGTCTGCATGAGGAATCTGTAACCTGTGACTTTAGATCATAGTGTGGATTTATTGTCACTCAAAACAGCCTCTGAACAACCAGCCATTACACCTCATCCACAGGAGATTTTAGCTTCATGCTGTCTGTTTAATCTGAGAGGAATTTTCCTGAACAAATGACAATAACAAGCTTTGCGGGCCTCATTATTAGTATTTTTTATTTTTGAAATCTAGCATAACATGAGACCTTAGTGGCACAAAGTAAATGTTTCTTTATGTCAGATTATTTAACTCAGTTCTTGAGCTGCAAATGTACTTCATTTGTCTATGTGTGCTTTTAATCTATTTTATTGTCAATATTAAATATCTCCACACACCCAGGCCCACCCATGTAGGTTCATTTTCAGTCAGTTAGGTTGGTATCAATACTTTAGACAAAACTTCTCCTTGGAGGAATGATGGTAACTGTGTCGCCTTTAAAAGAATAGTACACCCAAAACATGATTAGCCTTCATTTTCTACTCACCCCCATGCTGAACAACACTCTGGAGTACTTTTTTGATATCTCAAATGCATCTGGAGATCTGGGAGGCTTCTTGCTGTCTGCTGACATTCAAATAATGGAGGTGTATGGCGCCCGAGGCAGAAAGGTCCATAAAAGTCCACAAAAAACGTGTCAATATTCCTCCATACTGCTCGTCCAATGTATTCCAAGTGTCCTGAGTGGGTAGCATCCAGAATTTACTTGAAACAAAGTCATTTAGAATGTTTTTAGAGCATAAACAGTAGTGTATAGGATTTCCTGAAAGCACGTTCACGACGCTACGGAAACCACAGCAGACCAAACCGGATGAAAGTGCGCATTCAGCTCGGCAAAGAACTCATGCTCTTCCTCAACACTGAAGTCCTCAGACATTTTTCTTTCGTTGTTTCTTTCTTTGCACAGGTAAACAGCACATTTCTTCTTCTACGCTTGCATTATCGGCAGAGCAGACGCTGAATGCGCACTTTCATCTGGATTGGTCTGCCGGCTTCCGTAGCGTCGTGAACGTGCGGGCGCGCGCTTTCAGGAAATCCTATACACTACTGTTTATGCTCTAAAAACATTCTAAATGACTTCGTTTCGAGTAAATTATGGACGCTACCCACTCAGGACACTTGGAATACATTGGACGAGCAGTATGAAGGAATATTGACACGTTTTTTGTGGACTTTTATGGACCTTTCTGTCTCGGGCACCATAGACCTCCATTATTTGAATGTCAGCAGACAGCAAGAAGCCTCCCAGATCTCCAGATGCATTTGAGATATCAAAAAAGTACTCCAGAGTGTTGTTCAGCATGGGGGTGAGTAGAAAATGAAGGCTAATCATGTTTTGGGTGTACTATTCCTTTAAAGAATTCCTGACTGTGAATGATGCTAGAAGGAAAGTCGTAAGTAAAAGTCATTGTTATGTTAAATAATTGATAGTTTAAGTTAAGTTTATAGTAGAAAGAAAATGTAATAAATAGGTTAAAAAGATCGTTTTTATTCATGTGTTTAGATGGTTAATTCATCAGACTTTATGTGAAGCTAAACTTAAGATTAAAAATAGTTAAACTTTGTTTTTGTTACAGTTTTCACTCTGCTATGTAATGCTGGATTCTTCAAGTAAACAACAGTGGAACGTTAACTACAGAGCAGTCTCCTGGTTATTGCATCAGAGTTAAACTTGTTGGATAGCTTCAGTTAATACACTGCAGTGAGGACAACACAGTAACTATTATTTAAGGTTAGTGACCTCGAGCTAAATACAGCAGCTGGATCACATATCTGACTGCTTTGCGATGCCTCGGAGTGAATAATATATGTATTATATATTGTACTGTACAAATATATAATATAATGTATTTTTTACATCAAAACTCCAGACAGAACAGAGGTCGGTTTCATGGATGAATCATGAATTAATGTGATTCATTCTGTACAACAAACTGAAAAACAACAATCAATGGAAATTCTCCAAGTGAGAAAGATGACATGAGCCTCTGAAGATTGGAGCATTTTTCCAAACTTCCCAAACTTTTCATCCCCAAACTGACCTTACAGATTTTATGCCATTAACATCCAAGCTTTTTCACATAGATACATGAAGCCTGATAAATCTTCAGAGCAGAACTTACCCAGAAATAAGCAAAACGATGTGATCTTAGTCTCCATCTCATAGTTACACCCAGACAAACAGATTTTGTCCCAAATCGAAAGTAAAGAGCAGTTCTACAGGAACAGCCAGCTGGGCAGGTTGAAACACGTCTGACAGTACAAGAGCTTCCTGGATGTGACGATAGGACGACCTTCTTTTTCTTCTTCTTATTGTGTTTTATGTTTTGGCAAACAATTTTTCGGTGCATCACCACCACTAACTGAAATGGAGTGTGAATCAGGATTGAACTAATTCAATATCCTACTACATATTACTACAGCTAAATCCTCTTTAAAAAAATTGTCTTTTTAAGAAACCTCAATAAAAAGGAGAAATCCTCTGATTTAGAGTCCAAGTCTAAAATGTATTTTAAGTTTAACTCTGATTTATTGATTTGTAATCAATTTATGAATTTATTTATTTCATTTACATATTTAGTACAAAACAATATTATGTGCTCCACTGTTTCCTCATAAAAACAAAAATCACACTACCCTGTATAATGTTTCCCTATTTTAAACAACATGCTATTTAAACCTGTATGGCCAAACCGTAACCTTGATATCACCATTTCCTCCTTTCTATTCCTTGCTGTTTTTCTCATAAAGCCAACTTTTTTTTTAATATTATAAAACCATCTGCCAGTTCTTTTTTCTTCCCACTGTTTCTGCCATCTTGATCGAATCCTTTCCTTAATTACTGGTTTTATTTCAACTTTACTAAATGGAATTACTATATCAATTAAATTACATTTACTTGCTTGTTTTGCACATCTATCAGCCATCTCCCTTCTATTCCTATGAGAAGGAATCCATATAAAATAAACTATTAATCCCATTGCTTGAATTCTAAATAATAATTGCTGAATTTTTGCTAATATATCAGGTCTGCTGTCTGAGTGTCTGTGTTTAAATGAAAATAACGCTGAACTAGTGTAAGGTTTGTTCGTCTCTTTACAGCGCTAAAGGGTCACTATAAAGGTAAAGGGAACATAATGTGCACATAAAAGCTGCAGAGGTGACATGCTTGAATGACCTGATAAACCAAGGATGACCTGATAACAAAGGTTTGACCTCTGCTGTTAGAAACCGTTTTTAAGAGTGTTGATGCGATAAGTAACACCCAAAAAAAAAACACCCTAGCTATCTTTATTATGTATGACTTTTGCTAATCATAGTTTTAACTTACGGTTTGGGCAGCGGCATGTGAGGACGTGTCTTTACTGAGCTCCTCAACAGCACTATTAATAAATATTGAAGCAGCTACTTAAGAAAAAAAAAAAAAACTTGAGCCCCGCCTGCCAAGAAGACAAACAAGACTTTAATCTTTGGATCAAACATTTGCTAACAATATCTAAAAACCAACGGAAAGTACCCGACACAAAGCCTAGCTCTAAAACTAGCCCGGAGGCTAACGCTGCACCTGACGCTACACCCGACCGAGGACCTGGACATCAGGCTATCCTCTCAGTGATCGCCAAACAGAGGATGGAACTGCTCACTAAAGCTGAGGCACAATCTGCTGAAATTCGCAACCAGGTTGACCAACTAAGAGCAGAGATTAAACTAGCCAACGATAATGCTAATGCCAAGAGTGAAGCCCTAGATAAACGAATGGTCGCCCTTGAGTCTGCAGCCGACAGCCACTCCGACCTGATCGCTGCTTTGGAACAGGACATGGCTAACATGCAGACGGAGCTCGCTGTCCGGAAAACACGTAGTGAGGATTTTGAGGCACGATCTCGCCGTAATAACCTGTGCATTACCGGGATAAAGGAAAGATGAGAGGACGGTAAGAGCATGACAAACTTTATATCTCAGTGCCTGAAGGAGACGCTTGGTCTTGATAAACCTCCTTTATTGGATCGGGCACACCGCACACTGCGCGTGAGACTGGGTAACAGCGACCCGCCCCGAGCTGTCATTATCAGATGTCATTATTATCAGGAGAAGGAGGAAATGCTAAGGAAAGCCAGGCAGATGAAAAAACTGACTACAGGGGATGGTGATACGATCCGCATCCAACCAGACTACACACAGGCAGTAGTCAAGCAGAGGGCGGAGTTCAGCAAAGTGCGGGGCTTATTAAGGAGCTGTGAGGGAGTACCCTATGGCCTGTGGTACCCAGCGGAGCTGAGAATAACGACGCCGGATGGTCTGCGCAAAAGCTTTAAAGATCCTAAACAGGCCAAGGATTTTATAATGGAAAACTTTAAGCGCGCCGCCTGAAGACGTGATAACGCTGAAGAGATATACTCTCTGTGGTTGCCCCTATTCCGCATACAGAGGTATGTCTGAGTAACTGTCTTTGTTTAAATATATGGGATTTTAATGTCCCCAATCATAAGAACGACGGAGGGGCCACAGATAGACGGCAAACTTTCTGTTCTGGGCTAGATCAGCCCCAGGGGCACAGGACTGGTCGGTCTGATATGGGCACTTCAGCCTAAAAAAGTTCTTAAGCATTTTCAAGGCCCATTTAAAAAAAATCTTATATACCAAAGCTTTGGAGCGCAAGACTCTCTCCTCTACAATGACACAGGCCACTATTTCAGTCCTTCTGAAAAAAGGAAAGGACCCCCTGAAATGTGAGTCATCCAGGCCAGTGAGTCTACTCTGCTGTGACTACAAGATCTTGACTAAGGTTCTGGCTAGTAGATTAGAATCACTTATGTGTACAATGATTCATCCAGATCAGACTGGTTTTATTATAGGGTGGCAGCTTTATAGTAACGTACAGAGACTTTTCAACATTCTTTATTCCTCGGAAACCTCACCTACAGCAGAGGTTTTGCTCTCTCTTGATGCTTTCAAGGCATTTAACCGGATTGAATATGAATATCTTTTTGCAGCTCTGGAGAAGTTTGGTTTTGGTTCGGCTTTCTGTTTGTGGATAAGGATTCTATATGCTACACCACAGTCCTCTGTCCGTACTAATAAAATAACCTCAAACTATTTCCCTATATGTAGAGGGACAAGGCAGGGCTGCCCATTGAGCCCGCTTTTGTCTGACCTAGCCATAGAACCACTAGCGGTTGCACTGCGGGATGCAGAGGAGGTCGTGGCCGTTGTCAGGGGTGGTCAAACCCACAAACTTTCACTATGTGCAGATGACTTGCTACTTTACTTGTCCAATCCTTGCACCTCTATTCCCAAGGCATTAGATATTATCTCTAGTTTTGGAAACATCTCCGGCTATAAAATCAACCTCTCTAAAAGTTTGCTCTTTCCTATTAACAACCAGGCTCAACAGATGTCTTTTAGGTCATACCCACTGAAAGAAACTCGCAACACTTTTACATATCTTAGCGTATCAGTAACCCAAAAATATAGTGACTTATTCAAACATAACTTTAAACCTGCCCTGGAGAGGGCTAAACTGGACCTTACCCGTTGGTCAGTGCTGCCGATATCGCTTGCTGGCAGGGTTAACTCTGTCAAGAGGATAATCATGCCCAGGTTCTTATTTTTGTTTCAAACAATACCTGTTTTTATCCCAAAATGCTTCCTCAGAGAGCTGGATAAATCTATATCGACTTTTATCTGGAATAAGACCATCCCAAGAATAAGGAGAGCGCATCTGGAGAAACAGAAAGAGGCTGGAGGCCTAGCTCTACCAAATTTTTTGCAATATTACTGGGCAGCTAATAAATAAATAAATTAATATACTGGGTCTCTTCTTTTTACGAGTGGAATGGACCTGTATGGGTTGAAATGGAACAACATTGTGCTTATCCTGTGTCCTTACCTTCTTTGGTATGTGCACCATTGCCACTCAGTAAGCAGCAACGCACAAACAACCCCATTGTAAGCGACTCACTTCTAATATGGTCTCAATTCAGAACCCACTTCAAATATAGACAGGCTATGCCTTCTATGCCAATCTCAGTCAATGCACTCTTTCCACCCTCACTCATGGTGGATTCGGCATTTAAATTATGATCCAGGAAAGGATTGAAACTGGTGAGGGATCTTTTTAAGGATGGTGTGTTCATGTCATTCGAGCAACTGTTAAATGAGTATAATATCCCCAGTTCCCATTATTTCAGTTATCAACAGGTGCGCGTCTTTCTTCAGAAACATTTTCCTTCCTTTCCGTTACTCCCACCAAATGACTGGATAGACAAGTGGTTGGAGGAGGATCTAAATAAAAGAGGAGTGAGCAGATTATATGAGGATATCTAGAGGATCTCTTCACTGTCTATTAATCATATTAAGACAGTGGGAGGAGGATTTGGGATTTGGGTTGTCAGACATCTCCTGGCAAAGCGCAATCAAGAGAATACATTTAACAGAGAATACATTTTTGTATCAGACATGGTTTGCTCCAGTTTAAGGTGCTACATAGGCTTAATTTATCCAGGAGCAGGCTTGCAAGGATTTATCCAGATGTCGATCCGACTTGCTCCCGATGTTGTCAGGCTACAGCTGACCTCCACCATATGTTCTGGGCATGCCCAAAGTTGAGACGGTTCTGGTCTTTAATTTTTGACACATTCTCTTACATTTGTGACACAGAGATAAGCCCTGCCCCCGAAATTGCCATATTTGGTGTGGCCCTTGCTGAGATGGTGATATCTGGTCCACAATCAGATGCCATTGCATTTTCATCCCTATTGGCCAGACGTCTCATTTTGGGTAACTGGAAGTCAGAGAGGCCTCCCACATTTACTTTGATCTGTATGTATCGACCCCCATCTGCAAAAGATACATTTTACTGTATGATCAACTGGAGACTATTTTGAAAGACTGCAACTCTAAAAGGGAAATAATTTTTATGGGTGACCTAAACATCAACTGGAACAACAAACTGGACAGGAGAAAACTTAAAATACTGACTGATAAGTATAATTTAACACAAATGATAAATGTACCTACAAGAATAACAAGCGGGTCACAAACAGCAATTGATTTAATATTCACAAATAGGCCTGAAAGAATTTTGAAGACTTTTAATCTCATATCAGGTCTTTCTGATCATAATTTCATTTTCTGTTCAAGAAAGGATAATAGAAAGAATCCAGCAACAACTCCCAAAACTAGATCTTATGTTTTCAT